AAAATTAAATGCAACTGGACCACTGGAGCCATGCAACACCGAAGGATAGTTCTTATGGGTTACAACAGAATTGCACTACATGCTTCGTGTACTAAAATTTAAAAAGTAACTTTTATGTGTGTATAGGGTGGCTACTAGGGAGACACTGAATTACTGTCTGTAAGTACTGGAGCTTTCCTGATGCAAGTGTTTGATTGCCTCCTTGGCGTTTTGGTATTGGCAGTTAGTCGGTTTCCTTCAGCTTGCTGATATTCTCACTACAGGAATGATCAAGGCATTATCTCTTAAAAGAGATTATTTGCATTGCTTTTCTGTACTAAAGGCGACTTGGCCTAAAATGGCTTCATAAAGAAGCCAGTTGGTGCTAAGTGAAAACCCTGGAGAAGGAATAGAGAACCTGCTTGAACCATGCAAGCAGAGAGGGAACAACCAACCTCTCTGTGAGGCAGCAGGCCTGCCAAGTTATTGAAAATAGCGTAAATTCCTCATAAGAAAGTGCATACAAGGAAAAGAGAGTTAATTTACAAGCCCACCAGAGACAGAGAAACTGCAGTAATTGGACACTTCAGTGGTGAAGCATCCTAGTGAGGATGGTCAATGCTGCAGCCATTTGTTGTGGTTCACCTCCCCTAAGAGATGGGCCACTAGACAGATTAAGAGAACAGGGAAGGCACTGGCACCCCCAGCACCCCGTGCAACAGAGACACCCACTCTTCTTCACTTCACCCCTTAGTTCTGTACATGCAAACTCTCAGGGGAAAGGACAAGGAATTCTGACTAACCCTCACCACACAGAGCCGACTGTAAAAGGAAGATGACCTGAACCAAATAAGTGTTAGTTAATAGAGCAATAACCTACTTAAACTACATTACTGCTGCCTTATCTTTCTGCAGTGTCTGAAAAAAATGCAACAGTGCAAAAGAGATGGAGCATCTACAGGAAATAAACCTGACCTACTCATGCTCATCTAGCAATCAGACGCACCAGAAACTTTAAATCAGACCTCCTCAGTCCTTTTAAAGGACTTATTTTGCACATTATTCTTTCTGTTCAGCTTGGACTAAAAGTTCTTTTTTTCCTCAGTGAAAGCCAAGTGAAAAAAATAATGATACGATTCCTACCCTATCAAACCCCTCAAATTTCTGCAGTCTTGCTACAAGCAGTATAGGCATTCTACACACTTAGAAAAACAACTGGAAGGCCCCTAGAAAAAGCAGCCATGGGACCTTCCAAGAAGTTGTTAAGGAAGACAGTGTGAATCAGCTGGCTAATGGATGGATCTTCTCAAATACATGAAATAAAATAATCAAACAGTGCCAGAACAACTCTCTACCATTTTATGCAACCAGATTATTCAGCTGTTTGTTTATCAAGCAATATAAGGATTGCAGGCATTTCTGCCATAGGATCCAGTCCAAGTTTCACTAACTTTGCTAGTCCTGGATCAAGTCCATAGTAAATACCCAGTGTAAATTCAATCCTATAACAAATGTCCACACAGATTCAGCTCTACAAACATTTAAACAGATACTTTCCCATTATTATTTTGATAGCGTATTTTACATATGCATATGAAGCTTTCCAGTCCATCAATTCACAGCTGCTGAGGTGGGCACGGCTTAGAAGAAAGACCATTAACTCCAGAGCGCAACAGAGACCACGCCAATCAGTTCCTACAGGCTGGTCTGGTTGGCCTTTTCACCAGCTGGAGTGGGTGGCAGTCAAGAAGGCAGCAGTACTTGCTGGTAAGAGAAGGAAAAACTAAGATAGCAGGATCTCAGCCCACCCTTTCGGCAAGGAGACGCTGTTCTGAACCCTCCACTGGCCGGCAGCTTCTCTGCTGTATCTAACACGAACTGCCTGCCTCTACATGCAAGAGCCTTCACACGGTCCTCATGTGACCCATCATCTCTTCTGTCACTGCAGCGAGGTTCACATCTCCCAAGAGTTATTATCCAGTTGCAGCCATTACCAGAGTTTAAAACTGGTATAACTATGCTCTTTCAAACTGCTCCTTCAATGAGGACTGCAGCTCTGAGATAATCCCAGAGACATTATTTTTTCTTTTTCAGATTATTCCTTAAAACTACTTTTGTCATTATGCCTACACAAAACATGCATGCACACACACAAGTCTTTACAATAGTTTGGCAGCATACCTAATACTGACATGTGACAATACTGTTTCCCAGTACTCTCTCCACTCTATGGTTTGGGGTTTTTGGTTTGTCTTTGACTGCCAGTTCTCTGCTGCAGGGTTCATCTCTTATAGTAGGTATTGTGGGAACCTAAAACAATTGATTCTGGTTCACACCCAAGACGCTGAGGAAATATTATAAGAAAAATTAATGAGAAAGGGATGCAGTTCTGACTATGGATTGATTCTGTGGTCTTTGTTCCACAGAAGCAGGAGCCTAGGAGTAAAAACTGTAAATAATACTCTTTGTTTCAGAGTTATCCTGCTCAGCCGCATTTATTACTGTTTTTGTTACACTGTTCAATTTTGGGGGTAGGACCCATCAGTCCATCTTTGCCTTCAGCTTTAGATAGTACACTTCTGGAAAAGCAAGTGGCATTTAGTCCTTTCCCGAGTCTTTGTTTACAGCTAGACAATTTAGCCTTAAGAACCACTTCATCTTTATTGTTTCTACATGCTTTGATTACATGACATACCCAGGGAATAAAGTCACATCTCATTTGGAAACCATTCTTTAAAGGTAAGAGGGTCCTGAACATGAGGTCTGACAAAGAGAAGGTAACCTAAATCCATTGCATTCTTTCCTTCATCTAAGGTGACAGGAAAAGAGAAGTTACAGAGCGTGTGAAACTTTTTACAACAGTACATACCCCTTGTTATCAAATGCCAACAAATCTCTCATGTCTCAAGTCTCAAAAAACCCCCAGACAAACAGAAAATAAAAGCCCTAGGGAAGTCATTAGTTTCAAATAAAGGGAAGATGTGTCCATGCACCTCAAAATAACTCACAGCACCAGCATACAGCCACATTAACTCTGAATTGTATGCAGGACAGAACTAAATATTACTGAAGCAAAACAGTCCTTTACAATCTTTCTCCTTTGAGACTGTCTTTCACGCAGCTCTATGTATTTAGCTCTGGGATGAAAGACAGTGGCTGCTGTCTTGTTTCCCACAGGAGCTAGATGCTTCTCTGTCTTCATGTACCATCTGGGAAGGTAGAAGTACAGTTATTTCCTTGAAGGTATAAAGCCCAAAAACCAACATCAAATCAAGGCCTTTAACTTACAATGCAATCACTAAAATCAATCTCCCTACCTCCCCCCCAAAAAAACCCAACTAAATTCATAACAGTCTCATTAAATGTATTTATACAGTAAGGGAATAGTCTCGCCATAAAGAAAGCAATGCCTCACATTTCAATAGTTTGAGCATAAATGTCATTTGGCAAGAAGAAAAATCAAGTGATTTTCCAGTTATTTAAACACAAAGCACAGCTACAAGCTAATTAATGCTGTACCAGACTAGTCAAAGTCTAATAAATTTCTACAGTAAAGACTGGAAGGAGCTCATGCAAAAACCATCACCGACCTAATAATATATGAACCTGCACTCTATGGTGAAGCTCTACAAGGGAGACGGAACAAAACAACCCACCCTGCAGTTTTATACAAATAGACAGAAGTCCCCTTTCAGGTGGAATGAGAACGTAGTGCTCTACTTGTACACAAAGACTGACTTCTATAAATCCCCCAGTGTTAATGGCAAAGAAAGTAAGACTGTTCAACTTAAACTATACGGAGGAAGGGAGGGTGTGTTCATTGAAAAGATACAGAATAAAGTCCCACAGAACTAAAAGAAATCCCAAAGCCCTTCTTAATAAAAGTTAATAAAACTTATGTTCTTGCACTGCCATTCATTTTGATTGGCTGATTTCTAACTGGTATTATTCTTCTCTATGATGCCAAAATAAACGAGTCTTATAAGTTGCTGAATTTATTTCTGCTTTCAGTTCTTTCTTTTCAAAAGCTGGTTCTGACTGGCAACAAACGACTGTACAAAACAACATTAACATCAATGATACTTGATTCTTGATGAGCACACCAATCAAATAAGCACAATTATTTATACCACTACTGAGAAATACACACAAATACTGCTTTTAAACAGATGTTGATTAATATCAGTCTTTCCTCCCACAAATTGATTTTCTCCACTAATTAAATACTGTCCTGGCAAATACAGTTCTAACTCTACCCTGGAATTCATAACGTTGATCTTAAGACCAGTTTCCTTTCCATTTCACTAACACTATGGTCCTAACCTCAAAAACCCTTACTTACATGGAGAATCCCACCACTTCAATTTTCTTTTTGAGCATCTTGACATTGTCTCCTAGTCTCCTTTTTATGATAATGCTTTATACTGCATGTACATGAGCCTTATTTGAAATCAACATAAGGATGCCAGTGGACTGGGGAAGAGGAAAAGGGAAATGCTACAGGGCAGTTTACAGTCTACCCCAGTTGAACCATGACTACAACATGCCTCTTTCAATAGGTTGCCTACATTTATACTACTCCATGAGAGAAGAGCATTTTACTTAAGGCGTATTTACTTGTAGGGAAGAGCTGAAGCTTTGGGTACAGGCAGACTTTAAAAAAAAATTCATCAGAAGTAACTTTCATGTAGGTTTCATCAGCAACACAGTCCTTGTCAAGTTTAACTCACCAAACTCTCATGTTTTTAAATATGCAAGAAGCAGTAGTTACAATCTTCAAGATCTAGGACTATCAACACTAGGTTAACAGAAAGGGAAAGGTCAGACACTTTCAACAAGGGAAGTAAGTAGCAAGGCAACAATATTTCATTGCGTAATTTAAGACATTTGCAATTCTGGATTGAAGATCCATTCTTTATCAATAAGAACAATACCATTACCTATTTGTGAAAGGCTTAACAGATTAGACAAATAAACACCGACTAAAACATAACTTCATGCCTCCAAATCTTACTGCTGACCTTCTACTAGTTGGTCCAAGGAGGAAATCTTCTTGGAGCCATCAATCGTGTAGATCGTTCTCACTCCCTGGGGCAGATTCACATTGTCAGACAGAGTTCGGGTCAGATCAGCCAGGAGAGCTTCAAAGGATCTAAACCGGTCAGGGGAGATGGCATATACAATTCCTTTGAAATATCGATCTCCATTACGATAGAAACGAACTTTCTTGGCTTTTTTCTCAGAACTCAGGGTCTGTAGAGTACGGGTTCTGTAAAAGCTGCAGTGGGCACTGTGAGTAGGGCTGGGCAAGCCATTTACCCGGGACCCTCTGCCATATCGCTGCGCTTTATCACGCTCATCAAAATGCTCCAGCTCCATGTCTCTCCCAAAGGACATCTTGAAGTTCAACCTAAAGGATGCACAAGCAAAGAGGAAAAAAAAATAAGAAATTTACACATGTTAAGGGACGTCTCTTTAAGACTTCATGATTTATATATGGCACTTAGAGGACTACTTTCCAGGTTAAGAAAAATGTTCGAATGAAACCATGCTACATTCACATGTTCATTTTACAGCTAACTCTTTTGCCATACCATAAAACCTGGTTTATAAGTTAAGCTGTTATACACCATAGAGATACCACTCATGAAACCAACTGCTAGCAACATGCAAACATTTAAAAGTGTTTATTCACATTCAGTAGGAACTCTGAAAATGAGGTGACAAAGTTCAGCCACTGGAGAAAAGAACAAACGCATCAACTTTCTACTTTTTCTCATGTTATATTCAGGTGCTATTTGAGTCCAAGTCTACCTTTCTAGACCATCCACCACCATTAAATTGTTTGTTCCAACTGTGATGCTGTTTCAGAAGGGCAACCAGTACCCAGCAAGTAAGCAATTGGGAACTTCTCAGAGGAGCAGATATTGCAGGTTGGTGATGAGAATCAGGTCTACCACTTCATGAGTCAAGCTCACTGTTCAAAAGCCCTTGCATATTCCGACCACTGGTTTCCCTGCAGCCTAAGCTTTGTAAAAAATTACTTCTGTTGTTCTTGTGCAAACACTTTGCATATTCTGAACCACAGAAGTGCTCAAATGTCATGAAATTTAAAAAAAAATAAGATATAAGAAACTAGTATTTTTCAATGAGCAAGCTATTTTAGCGTTCTCTAACATTTGCAAGATGTATTATTAATATCCTAAGTCTAATATTCAAATTGATTAAGGTTGACAGCTTCCTTTGCCTACAAAACTATCACTGAAGGAGTGATAAATTCAGTGTCAATGGGCAAATTAGCAATTGGCATCTCCCGTGTTTGACAGTGACAAAAACCCCTCAGCTCTGACCAAAATGATGCCGGTTGTGCAATACAGTTCACAGAAATGGAAGTTCACATGTTCTGAAGTGAAATCAAGGAGGCAGATATTTCTGTTCCTTTTTACAACCAATACAAGACTAAATACTACAAAGTGTACATTAATTTTCATGAATAAAAGAAACAAAAAGATGAAAAAAATTAGAATTATCAGAATATCACTTGGTTCCAAAACACATATCTTTTAATTTAGGAGCCACCTAGATTTGCAGTTGTCTGCAAAACAGCAAAGCACAGTAAGCTTATTTATAGCACAGCTACACAGAACTAATTTAGAAGTGGTCTCTCTCATTGATTTCCAATAAAAAGGAAAAAAAATAGCAAGCACAAGCTTTGTTTCAACCACTCATAATTGTGTGACCATTAAGAAAAAAAATATATTCAGACCAGCTGTAAAACAGTAGGAGCAAAAAGAGAAACATTTAAGGATGCTCTTTAGCTCACAGAAGTTTGTATTAATGCAATTATTATACTGCTGGACCCTGATGCTGCAAAGCTGTAGGGAATGTGCTCAACAACTTCTGAGGGCTGTTTATGTGCTTGATTAGAACAAGCACCTGAGGCTACCACTGCAAGTGTGGGGCCTTGGCGGAAATCATTTACCCTGCTTTGGTTAGAGCTCACACCTTATTTTGTTACATTGGCACAGGATTATGCACTTATGTACATATGCAACATTTATCTTTGTAAATACTTTAAAGGCACTTAACATAAATATATGGTGCAGTATGTGTGTGTGTGCATATATATAAAAGTCTGATCTACGTTTTTGCTCAGTATACATACACACATTCACTCCACTTCATTGAAAAGAACAAGAACATTTTCTGTGGCATTTCACTGACACTTCTCTATGGGTTAAATACAAAATGTCACTTAGTGGCCATAGCTTAGGACCAAGACTATACCACCAACATTTCAATGTTAAAAATTGTAAGTTGTTTTACTTCATTTCTAATTACAATGAGAATCATTTATTCAGATTTAAACAATCCCAGAACTCACAATTCAGACACTGTATCTGAAAAGCAACATCTGTGCCAAGAAAAATGGATTTTTCTTAGGTGTGCTGTATCATTTGCTCAAATCATCTCAAACACACATTAAAAAAAAAGGAAAAACAAATTTACATGAAGACCTTTTATTTTTAAGAGACTTTTGGCTTTACTAATTTTGGATGGGGGAAGAAGAAGTACGAGTCACTGCATGTTCTTCCGCACACTTATGCTTTAATCAATAATGGCTGTAATTCCCAATTACGCCCTTTAAAACAGAAATAGAGCTCCTCGTGAACACCAGTCCTGCTATTTCCAGAAAAGCATGTTCAAACCACAAGGTCAGAGCAGACAAAGAAATCCTAAACAATTTGATCTGATCAAATGTTTCCATGTCTGTGTGTATAAATATATACTCATACATATACAGACGCAGAAAAATGAAAGGACACACCCCTGGAAAACCACCATGCCCAACACTTCACACATCTGTTAAAGGATTATTTATAATGCAGGTGTGGGTGAGCGATTACATAAAACAATCATACACGCTGATAAAAAAGAAAAAAATGCATCATGCAGCGATGCGACCAGGAGCCAGCGAGCATCACTGGGCAGCAGGCTGACTACGAAGTCATTGAGAGGGGGAAAAACGTGGATTCATGCGGGAGCGGCATCCAGCAAATATATATTTTATTTTCTTTTAATTCAAAAGGTGTTTATTCAGCTAGGGTAGGGGAAACGCGTTTGAAATACAACCAGCCCGCGGGAGGCGGCATTGGGAGCTTCAGCACCGCTGCGGGCCGGTAGCGCAGCGCGGACCGCACGGTGACAAAACCGGACGAGGTGCGTTCGCCTCCGGCCACCCTCACGCAGCACCTAGCGGGCTG